GAAGAATGCGTCTTTCTACGTTTCTTATGCCGCCTTCGGTGCGAATGCCCGCTTCTTCTACTGATGTGTTTCTTGGGCTTTCTCCTTCCGTTGTCCTTGTTAACGATGGAGTAACGTAAAGGTGATTCGTCACCGTATTCCTAAATCAATGATCAATGTCATGCGATGGTCAACGACAGGATAAAATAAAAGAAGGCTACCGCAGGAGAAAGGTTTTCGCTGGGGGTGAGGACGCCACGTTCTCGTCGACGAGCAATTCTGCTCCTCAGGCGTTCAGCGGCACGAGTACGCGGAATTCCGCGCGAAGTCCTTCGCCTATCTGCAAGAAAGACACAATTTCATCAGCCAATGCACCGAAATTGTGGCTAAAGAAAAAACGCGGCTGCACCTGTTTCAAAAGACGGTCTACAGACTGGACAGAACCATTCTTCAATGGGGACTGTCAGCAAAGGGGGTGATAAACAGTCGAGATGATAACTGCAATACAAAAGTCAATCGATCCACACATTCTAACGCCTTCTCGAACACCAATACCCCGCATCACAGCCGTCGCATAACAGTAGTTGGTCTTCTCTGTCCGAGCGATTGCAAACCTCACAGAAAGTCAAGTCGTCTTCGTTCAATTCATCTGAACTGTCAACTTTGGTAACTTTCTCCACCACGATCTACAAGCAGAATAAGAATAGGTTAATTTCATCATGCGACAAAGGTTGTTAGAAACACAGTGTATCCTTTCCTGAACATCGTAGAAAGCACGATCAACTAAAACTGAACTAGATAAATTGAAGTTCGATAAAAAAAGTATATTCAAAAGGCCATCGGCAATGCGAATGAAAATTTTAATAGCATTTGATGCACCGCAATTTCAAAAACTTAACTAATCTGGCTCTGTCAGTTCAGCTATGTTTTCTGAAAAAGGATCAGCGCTGAACGAGGCAAAATTCGTATTTATGTATTCCCTAACCGTGATGTAACGTAATCCTAAAATTATTTAGAAATTTCGTTATGATCGCAGATTTTGTTTGGCTGTTTTTGCATTTGAATGTATCTCAAACGCATCTAGGGATCACCCACCGTGAAAAGATTGCTGGGTCACAATCCGTTACCAATTTCTGAAGAAATAAAAATGAATCTTTTCCTTGTGCTATTAACCACCTCGAAGGAAAACAACGGCTCATCGGTAACAGAACAGATAACACGCATTCTTAGGGCAGATCAGCATATCATTTGAAATGCATGATCTATTTCATAAACCAAACACAGCCCTCTGAGCAGCTGCATAAGAATATCTGATAAACCTCTCATATTCTTGTCCGGAGATTAAAGTAGGACATACTGCAAGCTCCTTCCAGGTATATGATGCAAGCGTACACCACTTTGGCATACTCTCAACATTTTTCGCAGACCCGAGGGAAAACAGATTTCATTTGCTGTACTTCAACTGGAATAAAAGACGCGTTGCTCGCCGTAGAGCCAACGTTTCCACCATTTCTGAACATTTTTTACATTGGCGTAGAGTTTAACATCTTTTACTTGAATGTTGAACATAGAGATACTTTAGTAGTTGCTGCAGTTTCTCTAATTTTCTTTTTCACGCATGAAAAACTACCTGCTGCCTTTTCAGAATGCGAAACGAGTCAGTCAGGAATACCATCATGATTCAAGGAGTTAGCCTTTCACACCAGCCTAACCAATTTTAAGTGACTGAACGGTACCTAGCACTGCAGCTACCATAAGACCAGCTTCTGTCCGAAAATGAATTTTGGGACTATCGCCAGGACCCGGAGACGCCAGACTTAGGAAATCATCAAAATATGCTTGGCATCTCTGGAGTGTATCACCATCCCGGCTTAGAAAGTTTCCCTTTGAACTCATCACAGCTTTGACGGTACCTGATCTCCATGCGCAGAGCAAGCATGTGGTATGGTAGCCCAGTGCGTAAGAGATCGATTTCGAATTCCAGAGGTGCCAGGTTCGATTTCAGCGGACGGCATCTTCGTCTTAACCACCACCCTTTCAGCAACGAATTCACCACACGTGACTTTAAACAGGAGTTAATCAGTCGGTACAGCGTCGAAATCGCAACCGAGAGGTCCCAGTGTGACTCGCTCACCTGTCTTCTTTCCCAGTATAATAAACGGGTGCCACAGTTGAAAAATACAGGAGAGTACACGTTTCGCTTGCCACGCAGATGCTATCAACTGCCTTCAAGTAAAGCATGGTTGATGACATGGAAATGGAGATTATCAACGCCCCATTATTAAGTTCATGAAAAGAATGGTACCACAATGGGCACATTATAAAAAGTGTAAGGAAGACCGACATTTCAACAGTTATAATTTCTCCTTTACTCGCTCTTAGTCAGAAGCCTTCATTTGTAAATCGTCAGAGAGTTTAGTTTCACTCTTAACAGCTGTCGTATTCTTATTTTTGCCACTTTCACTACCTGTGCTACAGCTCTCGAAATTCGGTGTAACGAGTAAACAAGGATGAACTTGTTCGAAGGCCATGTCAAATCATTTAAATCGCTTGAACCGGCCATTAATCGGAGACGAATCGCGCCGGTCATACCACACCCTCCATTCTTGGCGGTTTCAAGCCCCTTCTTCGAAACGCGGCCTTCTGGATTCCTTATATGATCTAGTCACCGTCGTGGTGACCAAGCGACCTAATTCGCCAGTGAATGCATCAGTTGACAATAATCACTAATCAGCTCCTATTGATGAGCCAAGAATCGTGCCCGGTACATCGTAGCTTCTCCTTCTTGCATTCGAATACGAAGTCCTTCACTGACATCAGAGCCATGCCATACATGCTCTCTTTATCGAGGTGGAGGCTTCTTTAACTTCCGGTTTTCACCAAGAACTAGGATTTACAGTAATTATTACAGCAATGAATCGTCTGAACTATGTAGGGAGTAGCGGAGCTTTAGCAAAACTAAACCCCTAAATCGATCATCCTTTTTAGAAAAAAACGACTAATTACCTTGCGTATCAAATGACTGGTTGTTATCGATTTGACCAAAATGTTGTCGAAGTTGCTTCGATCCACCGGGCATGTCGCCGTTTGCTGAATAAAAATTTGTTAATACTTTGAAACAATTTTCGTGCCTCCCCTTACCTGCGCCCACTCGTATAGACATTCGACACAAAACGTGTGGCTGCATGTTTCTGGAGTTCCGACTACTTCGTCCCGAAATACGTTCAGACATATCGGACATCTATCGCTCCCACCAACAGACGCAGAACTGCTGGTTGAGCTGGAGCTCGCTTCTCCTTCCTCGACGCTATGTGTTTCGTCGGTTTCTGTCATCGACCGTTACTGTAAACAAAGCAATATAACTAAGTGTTAACCGCAGATACAGTTTAACTATTTGGTAAGAGTATTCTTTATTCACTCCCTTATTTTTAAATTCCGCTATTCCTTTCAGGTTATAGGAGAAACTGCTTCAACATGCTTTTTTAATGATCTCAATCTATTTATTTTCCAATGGTCTGGAAATCAAGGCGCGTCAGTCGCATCAATTTAGGTGTTTTGTTTATCGTAATACTCTGCTCCGCGGTTTGCCAACGAACCTCTCGTCTTATAGCTCTGTCAAGTGAATGTGCGAGGGAAACTTGCCTTTGGCATCCCATATCATCACATATTCAGACCGCCCTTATTATGACATCTGAACCTGGAAAAGCAGTGGCCTGCAATCAATAGTATTTCAAACTAACGTACTCCAAACTTTGTTAAGTCTCGTCTTGTCAGCAAACCTTAGAGCAATAACATAGAAAAATCAATTTGTCTAGGGAGACTTTCATAGTCAATATACGATAATTCTGACCGTAAAATGGTACACTGGAAACAGGAAGAGCAGAAACATTTCACTGTATACAGCTGAGCGTCACAACGTTCAAAGCGGTATGCTATTATTTTTTCTTTTCTTGTTGCCACTGAACTAAACGGCATGAAAATTACTTTGTTCTGATAAGAACTTTGTTGCCTATGCGGATAAAATGAATCTTAATCAATTACGCAATTTAATTTTCAATGGCGAAGTTCTTTCCAGGCTTCCAGATATAGGTACTGAGCGGGTGCGTATATTATTATATATATATAATCCTTTGGTAAGTCACAAACGGGAAGAGCACGCATAAAATGTTCTTTAATTAGAGACATCAGAAGAACGCTGATGCTAAAGAAAGGGGACAACTGCAAGTCGGCAGAGGTCGGAGACAGACGAAAGACCCTGGGGTTGTAAAGGCAGAATGCGAGAAAA